TGCTCAGTTGGTTGGAGTGTGGTGCTGATAACACCAAGGTTGTAGCTTTGATCCCTGAATGGGCCATTCCCTAAAGAGTTGGACTTGATGATCCTTGTAGGTCTCTTCCAGCTCAGAATATTCTGTGATTCTCTGTGTAAGTTTGCCTGTGCAACCAGCTCTTTGTGTAGGATGCTGCATTACCTCTGTCAGAATTTAAAGTGTTGCTGGATTCAGTTTTAGGAAGTGTTTTTCCCATGAAGCTTTCACTTTGCATGGTGTAAAGGATGAATTAAACTTGGTATCTCTGCTCTGTGTGTGGTCCCAGGCTGTGTTTGCTCTGCACTATTGAGATTGCTCTGAAAATGGCATCAAATTCTTCAAAGGTTTTTAGGGTGCCTGTCGTTATTCTGTCTGGGTTTTCCGCAAATATTAGCACCCAACATCCTTCAGGGCCTGGAGAATGGCAAAATCACCTTCTCCCAAATCTCACTGGCCACTGGTGGACCATTCTTGAGATAATCTCTGCCCAGGATTGTAGCACAGCTGTCCTGGCTCAGACCAAGGGCTCATGTGGCCTCACCACCTGAGTCAGCACTGGGAATAAGAAATGTGAAGGCAAGAGCATAAAAAGGCACAGAACAGCAGATAGAGATGCTCTCTCAGAATCCTCTCCAGTTTCTGACAGTTTGCACCTTAAGAGTTTCCTCTGTCAAAGTATCTTTGTGTTTAATGGTCCTTTATGAATTTTTCTTCCATGGTTTGCATGAATACCTGGATAATTATTATTCCTTGTGCCCTGCATTGAGAAGGGCTTCAAGTCTAACTGCAGCCTCTGTGTCCCATTTCATTTAGCTTTAGTCTATCAATTCATAAATTATCATAATTCCTCCTGGTTCTTGTATATTACAGGTTGGAATAATCTTTATTCACTTGCAGGGCTGTCCTGCTTTCAAAGCCCTGTGTTCTCCTTGTGTTCCTTTTTCTCCTGGTAGGAATTGTGGGAGATATCCAGTCTATCTGTGTTCATGCACAAGCTCTTCTGGAAATCTGTCCACTTTACAAGATGGTAGAATTTGACTTGTCCTTGGTCTGTCTGTTCAGTGGCTCCTTCACAGCAGGTTTAAGAGGCCTGACCACTTTCCACAGCTGTTGCCTCTTCTCCCTGTTCTGTATTAAACTTCTGCCCACTAATTCTACTCTAGTTTGAGAGTTTCTCTCAGCTCTCCCCTGTGCTGTGTCATTCATCAAATCTCTTGTAAAAATTTGAGGATGTTTGTCACCTTTTTCTCCCTTTCACACTCAAGCAATACTTTTTATACCACATTTTCCTTCCTGTCAGCCCTCAATGCGAATCAGAGACCCCCTGAGCCCCTGGAGCTACAGAAGAGCTCAGAGTCTTGGCTTTGCAGTTGCTGCTCAAGATGCACCAAACGTGGGGAGAGCTCACTGAGCTAAACTGTGTCTGCTCAAGGTCTGACTTTGGGACTTTAGCTTTCACCCTACAGCTCTTGCTTTGCTGTTTGCCTACAGACTCCAGCCCTGTGTGCTCTGTCTGTTCTCAGGAGGTTGGATGCCTGGCAGTTCTGATGGTATGTGGACAGGCAGTGTTTTGGTATAAAGGAATTTCGAAAGATTTTGTCTGTGGCTTTCAAGCAATGAATGATCTCAGTGTTGTTATATCAGGCTCTCAGACTCCTCAGTGTCAGTTCCCTCCTCCTTATTTCTTCTCTCTGTGCTGTGAACTTGGGAAACTTTGGTGCACAGGAGCACAGATAGTGCATGGAAATGGAAAGGAACCACATCTCACACCACTTGTTGGCAAGTGCACTTTCCTGGGATGTGGGTGCTGAAATCCCACTACCAGGCAAAGTCCAGGGCTCTGGGTGAGTGTTGTTATTCTCCCAGTTGATATAACAGCAACACCTCTTCTGAGCCAGCACTGTCCCACTGAGTTAGACAGTCTGAACATCCCTGATGAGATTCTTCTCACCCACTTGGTTCCTAAGGTTCGATGCTCACAGAATCCCAGAATATTCTGAGTTGGAAGGGACACATAAGGATCACCAACTCCAACTCTTAAGTGAATTGTCCATACTCACAACCTTGGCATTATTAGCACCATGCTCTGACCAACCGAGCTCATCTCAGTGTTCCTGAGGGATTCACAAGGTTCCTTGTTCTTGGGAAGTTTGCAGGTCTCTGGGTGATTCCATGTGTCAGTTAATTGCATTTGTTCCTAGTTAAGGATGTGTGAGCACACCTGGAGGTTGTAGGGCCCTGTGAGAACAGAGGCAGAGTGCTGTGGGGTTAGGTCTGAACTGGGCTCTAACTCCAGTGCCTGGATAGACTGGGTTGACTCCAGGGAGACCCAGACAAATATCTCGAAAACAGATATCTATGAAGTGTCTGGAGGACTCAAATCACAGCTGCAGTGCTTGACTTGCATCCTCCAGCACGAAGGTACATCCCTGACACGAGTATGGTCTTATTTGAACAGCTAAGGGTTAGAAATGTCTGCTGTGGAGCCAGGTGAGTTCCCATCTTGGTCACCTCCCTGGGATAAAAGTCTTTACGTGTGGACTGGAGTGTGGTAGACAGTGTGGACATGTGTTCTGGTCACTGGCACAGACTTCCTTCTCCTCTCTGTGCCAGACATTGGCTGTGCCAGACATACACCCGCAAACACAGACAGTCAGACTGTTGGACAACTCCACTGGGGAAGAGCCATGTTTTACCAGGAGCCTGGGAATGGTGCAGAGATGAAGAGTCTCACTGGTGCACTACTGGGGGGAATGGCTTGTTTGGTACCAACAAGTTGCTGGAAGCACCACCTTATTGCCCATCTCCACCTGGTTTGTGTTGCTCAAGTGCTGGGCTGGGCAGGGAAGGGCATGGAGAGTCCCTGCACTGCTGGTGGCAGTGCCAGTGGCCAGGATGTCCTCGTAGGAATGCTCCAGAGCTGGCTCCTCGTTACATCCCTCCCTCTCCAGCTCTGCTGGTCTGGCTCCCACAGCAGAGCCCGATTTGCCTGAGTGGGGGAGAGGAGCAAGAACCAACCAGCTCTTCCATTTGTACTTCCAAACTACCTGTGGACTTGCACAGAAAACCACATGGTTTGGGAGAGGGGGAAGGTGTTGTCTGCAAATGTTAACGATGGGGCTGAGATGTGTCCAAAAGGGAAGGTTCCAGGACTTTTCCATTGATCTGGTTTTGGTATTTTTGGGTGGGGGTTGGGGCACTCTGTGATCCTGTGTTTGGCAATCAGGTGCCACCTTTTCTCCCTTTCACACTCATGCAGATTTAAGCAATACCTTTTGCACCACATTGTCCTTCCTGAGTCAGCCCTCGATGGGAATCAGACACCCCTGAGCTACAGGAGAGCTCAGTCTTGGCTTTACAGCTTCTACTTGAAATGCATCAAAGCCCTTGACAAAGCAGGGGGAGCTCAACAGGCCTGAGTTAAATTGTGTCTGCTCAAGCTCTGAATTTGTGACTTCAGCTTTCCCCCTCTGGCTCTGGCTTCACCAGATCCCTGTTGTGCAATCCTATTGCTGCTCCCAGTGTGTTTGCAGCCCTCAAATCTTGCATCAAAGTAAAATAACTTCTCTGTGTTTTCAAGCATTCTAAAGATAAATTTTGCAAGAAAAATATTATCTTGCCATAAAAGGGAAAACATTTGTCTCAAAAATTTGTTGCATTTTCTAGCTGAGTTACCTGAACATGTAAGTGCATTGCTGTTACATTTGACAGGACATTTTTTTTGACCTTTCCTTTATTTTTTCAGCAAGAATATGTTTTCCAGCAAAACTCATGCTTGCTGTAGAAAGGTGGTCATTGATACTGCCTCCCCACTGGGCTTCCCTAGTATGTCCAGTGGCACAAATCCTGGGAAGGACATGGTTAGTGCTTTTTGGAGAGCTGTGACCTGCAGCACCACGGGATCTCTGTATGGGACACCTGAAGGAACTGGGAACTCACTCTGTGACTGGCAAGAAAAACAAACTGAAGGGGTGTAGACATGTCACAGGATCCCAGGATCCCAGAATAGATCAGGCTGGAAAGGACAGTGGCTGGTCCCATCTTCCTACTCAAGCAGGGCCATCCCAGAGCACATGGCACAGGATTGTGTCCAGAGGGGTCTGGAATACCTCCAGTGAGGAAGAGTCCACACCCACTCTGGGAGAACCTGTTCAGTGCTGGGTCACTGCCCAGCAAAGAAGTTCTTCCTCCTGTCCAGTTGGAACTTCCTGGGCATCAGTTCCTGCCCGTTCCTGCTGTGCCATTGCTGGGCCCCCCCAGCAGAGCCTGCTCCAGCCTCTGCCCCCTCCCTGCAGCCCCTGACACACCCTGGGGAGGGCCCCTCTCAGGGTCTGCTCTGGAGGCTGAACAGCCCCAGCTCCCTCAGCTTTCCTTGCTCCCAAGAGATGCTCCAGTCCCCTCCACATCCTTGTCACCCTGTCACAGAGCCAAGAGAACCTTCCCACCTGGGGTTGCTGGAGACAACACACTTGTTTTTCCTTCCTCCCCACAGCATTGCTGTGGTACTTTGCCTTGGTGTGTGGTGGAGATGGGATACAAGATCTAATCTTTAGTGATTAATCTTCTGAGCTGATAAAGTACCAGGAGCTGCAGCTTTCCAAATATCCTGCCCTCCAATTACCTTTCCATGGCTGCCATTTGAGAATCATCATAGAATCCCCAAATGGTTTGGGTTGGAATGGACCTTTAAAAGCCACTGAGCCCCACTCCCCGCCATGGGCAGGGACACCTTCCACTAGAGCAGGTTTCTCAGAGCTCCTGTCCCACCTGGCCTTCAGAGAATCCCAGAATATGCCAAGCTGGAAGGCACCCACAAGGATCATCCAGTCCAACTCCTGGCCCTGCACAGGCCCATCCCCAAGAGTCACACCCTGTGTCTGAGAGCATTGCCCAAACACTCCCTGAGCTCTGCCAGGCTTGGTGCCGTGACCATGAAGGATCCATAACCTCTGCTTTTCCTGCTTCCTTTCAGCCTGACCGGGAAGGAAGCCCTGACCCACTTCCCGTCGCTGGGGCCCTCCCCGGGCTCTGCCCAGGGCAGGGTGCACGTCAAGCAGTGTGACCTGCTCCAGCTGTCCCGCAAGCAGAAGCGGCTGTGCCGGCGGGAGCCGGGCCTGGCCGAGACCCTGCGGGATTCCATCCGCCTCGGGATCATGGAGTGCCAGTTCCAGTTCCGCAGCGAGCGCTGGAACTGCAGCCTGGAGGGGAGGACCAGCCTGCTCAAGAGAGGTACAAGGTAGTTGGTTGGCAGGGAAACTCCCGGTGCTGCAGCCCCTGGAACGTCCATCTCAAATCAAGCCAAGGGGGTTTGATTGGCACCAGGGAGTGCCCAGAGTGCCCAGATCATCCATTTCACCCAGGAACGGGCGCGTTGGGCCCCTTTGCCGCAAAATAAGCTTTGTCTTCGTGTTTCCTGCAGGGTTTGTCATGCATTGGAGAGTAGAAGGAAGTTGTCACCCTTGGCTTGTGGATTTTTGCCCGGAGTTCCCTGGGCTGAGCATCCTCCTCAGCTGGGAATCAGGGTGATACTGTGGGAAAAAGGGGCAGTGCTTGATGTCAAGGGATGTTTTAAGAAAAAACTCTTTTTAGGTCTTCAGATATTTATATTTGTTATTCTCAGATACAAAATTTATACCTATTTTCTGTTTGTCAGCACGACTGTTTATACCTGCATTTCAGTGCAAGTTGTCAAATCTTTCCTAAGACTCCTTCCCATAAATTTGGAGTTTTTGTAGAAGTTCAGAGTGGACAGAAGAGCCATTGGCTTCTGTTTCCCAAAATGCTTTAGAGGAAGAAAATGTCCTTAAATTCTCTATTTGAGGTAGGGGGGAGCATAACAAATCCTTCAAATGATAAGAACTTGAGAAAAATAGAATTAAGACAGACACTGAAACCATTTCTTAGTAAAAGTATCTTTGCTAAACCTGTCCTGATCCAAACAAAGCCTCATTATGTGTTACCAACTTTCAGCCCTTCAATAATTTTAGTGGCATTTACTAAACTTCATTCTTCAGAATTACTGAGTTTCAGTCCTTTAATAATATTTAGCAACTTAATGTTTTTTTAAAAAGAGCCCAGACAAGCCAAAATTAAATTTGATGAAAATAAATGCAAATTTTAATTAGCATTTGGATTGAAAATTTGTAACATTTTCATTTAAAATTATCAATTTTTATTATATTAAATATGAAGTTAATATTCTATTAAACCAGCACATACAGGGTCAGATTTACCTCATTGCAAGACTCTGTTGTGGTTTTTTTTAGCACACGAAAGCAAATTTCTTTAGTTGAAGAAGCTGTTTGTGATCATTTTGAGTGTTTTTCTGACACCTGCACCTTCATCAACCTCAAAGAACTTGAAAATGACAATTGAATAATCCTCCTCTTCAAATAGCTGCAAAACATTTCATTATCTGGCGGTGACAAGCCTTAACATTTCCAGGGACTCCTGACTGACAAAATAAAATATCACCTGTAATTTAAAACCTGTTTCGGCAGATGAGGAGAAGTGTTTGAAAACTTTTATTACACAATCTTAAGGCTCAAATGATGATTCAATACAGCAAAGTATGCTGGGTGCCCTTCCTGGGTGAAGGGACACTTGGTTGGGAGCAGTTGTTGGTTCTCATTTTCCTTCAGCTTCCAAAGGAGTTTGGTTCCTTCACAAAGAACAGGAACACTCTCAGCTGCCACTTTTGGTCTGTTTCTCACATTTCTTGGGAATCTCTTGGAAATTGTTGGTCAGCCAATGGACTCCACTCCTTTCGCTGAAGTTGAAGAGTTTTAGGAATGATCAAATCATTTGATATCTCCATGGTCCCAGAGAAACCCTAAAGAAAAATACACACTTTGAACAGTCTTTAAAGGTCTCACAAGTGCAAGAGAGGTCATGTCCTAGTGAGCTGTGAGGGGTGAAAAGCCACACTCAGTTGGCAGTCCCAAACTGCTGTGACTGATTTGGATCATCAATGTTTTTTCTGCTTCTAGAGATGGGGAAAACCCCAAAAAGACCAAGGGCTTTCTAGTCCTTGAAATGCCAGATTTATAGTCACAGTCTGCACTATTTGTTGTTCTGGATACTTCTCTGGATACAACTGGGAAACTCCTTTTGCATAACCTACCACTCCTCTGTGACCATTGTCACTTATGACAGCTGTTACTGTTCACTGATCCATGCAAAATCCTTCTGCACTCCTTCTCCACTTCCTTAAAAATCCATGATAAGAGTTAGATTTAAAATGATTCTGGAGAGACATTTCAAGCCATCCTGTTGCATGGTGGCAGTTGGTGTCTTTGTAAAGCACTGATGGTCATTTGGTGTCCCAGGAGTGCCATAAAGGTTGCTGGAGGCCAAGTAAACAGAATTTCATCTCAAACAAGATGGTGATTCAGGGAAGAGAAATAAAATTTGAGCAAAGAGTTCAAATGCAGGCACTCAAAAAAATCCTTCTTGGGAAATGAGCACTCTACGATCCTTCCATCCATCAGTCCATTTCTTGGCCTCATGCTGGATTCTTTGACCTTCAGGCAGTGGTTTCATTGATGTCATGAGGAATCTAGGAATGGTACAGCAGTGGAGTGGTAGCTCAGAGACGTGGAATTTCCACCATGGGAGATTTTGAGAACTCAGCTGGGGAAGACCTGAGCAGCTGGCACTGAGTTAGCCCTGTTTTTAGCAGGAGGTTGTGCTAAAGACCTTGAGAATCCTTCCATCCTAAATCTTTCTGCAGTTCTTTTTTGATTGGTTGGTTGGTCTGTTGATGTGATTGTTTTCCCTCCTCCACTTGCTCTGAAACACTCACCTTCACTGTAGCACTGAAAAATCATTGCCCATGAACATCTTTCCTTTGGCAGAACCAGCCCATGGCTGAACTCCTCCTGTTATAGTTTTCCTTGTGGTCTGGAGCACACCACACTCAGAACAGTGGTGCCATTGCAGCAAACATCTCTCTGTATTTATAGGCTGCTGAGCTCAGAAATCCTCCCAGAGAGCTCAGGGGAGGACTTGGACCCGTGCAAGGTCCTACTGAGGGGGCCGGTTTGCTGCAGCATCTTGAAATTCCTTCTGTGCTGGATGTTTGCAACCAAACTGCCCAGCAAACACATCTCATGGAGATGTTCCCCCTTGCCCCAAGTGTCAGATTCCATTTGGTCCCAGTCAGTGGGGTCAGGGGAGTGACTCATCCCCAAAGCGGGTCCTGATAGCCCAGCATCGGCTCCAGGCTCCGCTGGCTCTGGTGACAGAGGGAGGAAGGATACCAGGACACATGGGGAAATCTCTCTCAGATCTTAAATCATGCTCCTTGGAGCTGATTGCTGCCCATTTGTGGTGTGTCCTACTGAAAATCCAGCTGCTGCTCTGTTGCATGTTGTTATTCCACAGGGGCTGAAGGACCTTTCAGTTCTCCCCTTACTCGTGTGATTTGTAAATTAACCATTAAATGGTGATTGATCCCCTAGGATAAAGAACAAGGAATCATTTCAGACTTTTTGGACAAGCATTTGACAGCCTGGAGATGTTGAAGCTTTGTCTTAGGAGGAGGTGGGAGGGGTGGAGAAGGAGATGATTTGAAAGCCTGCTTGGTATGTGCAGTCCTTGCTGTCTGCAGTGGCCTGACCACAAGCCACGGTCTCTGATTTCCAGTGGGCTGAGAGCTGGCCAGCACTTCCATGGAGTGCCACAGGATAACCAAAGCATTGCTGGTCAGAAATAGCAGGAGCAGTGTGGTGTTCCACAGAGCCAGATTTAGCAGGGGCTGAGGAGCTGCCGGGGACTGCTGCCTTCACATGGTGTGGGAAAGGCCTTCTGGAATGTTCTCAGTGTGTCAGAGAGGAAACTGGGAATCTGGTAAACATTTGGAGATTGGCTTCTGGAATGATTTAACAGGTTTAGGATCTCAAATATATTTCACCCCCTCTTAGCTCCTTCTTTGGCATGGGTTGGCCACTGTTGAAAATGTGTGAGCACCATGTTGCTGTCCATAGTCTGTGCTGGCTGCGTCCCACAGCAGCTTTCCTAAAACTTTTGATGGATTTGGTGACGTCCTTTCATTGTTTTTCCAGTACCCTGAGAAATTTTGTAGAGCATCATCAACCAGAGAGACTAATTGCAAATTATTGTCCCAGTGCTTACAGCGACCAAGATGGTGAGGCAGGAAGGAGTTGGTTGGTTGATCTCCTTATCTCCTCCATATTTTGACTCTCCCCTCATGTCCATACTGTTGCTGGATCTTTATCTGCAATTCTGCAATTCCAAAGAGCTCCTATGGAGTGTGTATTGAAGCTGGTAATGCAGCCTCTCCACTGTGCTCATGGTCAGTCACACTTCTCATTCTTCTTGCTGACAACTGTCAGGAGAGCTCTGTGTCCTGTTCTCGGGTCACATTTGTGGTGGTGTTGTCAGATGTCAGCAGTCAGTGGCCTGATCTCTTATTACAGCTTGATGGGAATTCTTTGAGGGAACATAATAAGGGTTCATCTGAGGGTGGACTTGGTGAATTCTAGAGGTGAATTCCAACCTCTGCTCCAAACAGGTAACTGTAAATCTAGATCAAGTCTCTGTGGTTGTCTCTCTCTCTTCCATTATTGGGGTAAACAGATTTTCCCTCTGATGTGGAAGGAAATTTGGAATTTTCCCATGTGGACTATTTGTTTGCTTCAATGTGTTTTCCTCCTTGCAATGTACCACCACTCTATTTCTCATAAACCAATTTTTTTCTATATTGGCTGATCTTACCCATTCCTGCACTCAGAGCTGTTGATCAGTCACCCGTCTCTCTTCCTTGCACTAATTCCTAAATTGTGGACTTGTTAAACAATTTCTCATTAATAGTTTTCTTTTCTACAAATGAACTGCTGAAAGAATATTACAATTATCCCCAGGATTGAATAGACAAAGAGGTAAATATAAATGAGTAAATAAACTATTTTGGGGTTTAGGTCAGGTTTGTGTCAATCTGAGTTTCCAGAACTTCTGTGGAGCTCCTGGGTGTCGTATCAATATTCCCATTCCTGTCTGATCTCACATCTCCAGGCTGAATTTCCATTCAGTCCCTGTACTTTGTTTCCTGGTTAAATGTCCTGGTGTGCCATGGTCACACCACGACCTCAGGGATTGTAACCAATCCTGAGAAGCCTCCTCTGGGAGGAGAACAGCTTCAGAACACAACCCTGCAGTCACTGGGAGTGGATAATTTACAAGGAATTCAGAAACCCCACTCACATGTGGGAGAGCTGTCCTTCTTGCCAAGATGTCCTTCAACATGCAACCCTTGCCAGCCAAACTACACGTGATCTTTCCATGGGAAATACCACGACAGCCCCAATTAAAAACATGTTTGAGTAACAGGCCAGATTTTAAAAATATTTTCCCAGTCTCTACTCCATATTTGCTGATTTTAGGCCCCCCCATGATTTCGGTGGCAGTCTCTATTCACCCCCCTCAGCCCGTGGGGAGGGTGAGCACAAACGGAGTTTCACGGCTGTCGCTTTTTGCAGTTGGATGTTTTCCCACCCCTCCCTTGATCCATGAGTGGTCTCCTGTCCATGTCACAGAGTAACAGAATAGGTTGAGTTGGAAGGGACCCACAAGGATCATCGGGTGCAGCTCCTGGCCCTGCACAGGCCCATCCCCAGGAGTCCCAGCCTGTGCCTGAGAGTGTCATCCAAACCCTCCTGGAGCTCTGGCAGCCCTGGGCTGTGACCACTGCCCTGGGGAGCCTGGTCAGTGCCAACCACCCTCTGGGGGAAGAGCCTTTTTCTAAAATCCAACCTGACCCTGCCCTGACACAACTCCAGGCCATTCTCTGGGTCCTGTCCCTGGTCACACAAAGCAGAGCTCAGGGCCTGCCACTCCTCTGCCCCTCACAAGGAAGTTGTATGGAACCACTCACAGCCACGGGGTGAGACTGGGGTGTCACTACACCAGTTACTTCAAACACGATGTGGAGCTTCTCTGATAGAGTGGTGTGCAAGTAAAGAGTTTAATCTCTTTGTATTTATCATTAATGTAATTATTGTGCTTAGTTTTTCAGTCCATGCACAGTCAAGAGAACCAGTGAGGTGGCTGAACACCATATTTTACCTTTTCTGCTTCTACCCTCTCCCTGTCCTTCTCGTGTGCAGGTTTTAAGGAGACTGCCTTCCCATCTACCATGTCCCGTGTCCCTCACACACTCGCTGGGTTTTGTGCCTTTGTGTCTGTGATTATTGTGCTTGGCTTTAGTCATGAGGAGTCAGGAGAGCCAGTGAGGGAGTCTTCAACCTTTTTATTACTTTGCATTTCCTGCTCTTGCCGTTTCCTAATCCTTGTCCCCCAAAGGTTTTAAGGAGACTGCCTTCCCCTCTGCCCCGTCCTCCATGTCCCTCACTGGATTTTGTCTCTTTGTGTTTATAATTGTGCTTTGTTTTAGTCCACGGACAGTCAGGAGAGCCAGTAGAGGTGGCTGAACACCTTACCCTGTTCCTACCCTGTCCTAATCACAGAATCACAGAACATGCTGAGTTGGAAGGGACCCATCAGGATCATCGGGTCCAACTCCTGGACACTCCAAGAGTCACATCATGTGCCTGAGAGCATTGTCCAAACGCTTCTTGAACTCTGTCAAGCTTGGTGCTGTGACCACTTCCCTGGAGAGCCTGTTCAGTGCCCAATCACCCTCTGAGTGAAGAACCATTTTCTAATATCCAACTTAAACCTCCCCCAACTCAGCTTCATGCTGTTTCCTCGAGTCCTGTCACTGGTCACAGGAGTGAAGGTATAGGTACCTGCCCCTCTGCTTCCCCTCATGAGGATGTTGAAGACACCGGTGAGGTCTCCCCTTAGTCTTCTCTTCTCTAGGCTATTTTTATCCTCTAGAAGTCCAAGGTTGCAGAGGAAATCCAGACATTAGTTCAATCAGCACACAGGGAACAACAAGCAAGAACAGCACCTGGTGTGGGCTTGGTTTAGTTTTTGGGTTTTTCTTTTTAGATTTGTTCTTGTTTTTGAAACTTCCACACCCAGATTACCCATTTTGCTCACCTAAGCAGCACAGCCAAGCAGTGTTTTTTTCCCGTGCAGGTTTTAAGGAGACGGCTTTCCCCTACGCCGTGTCCTCGGTGGCCCTCACGCACTCATTGGGTTTTGTCTCTTTGAGTTTATAATTGTCGTGCTTTGTTTTAGTCCATGGACAGTCAGGAGAGCCAGTAGAGGTGGCTGAACACCTTACCCTGCTCCTACCCTGTCCCAATGCAGGTTTCAAGGAGACGGCCTTCCTGTACGCCGTGTCCTCGGCGGCCCTGACGCACTCGCTGGCGCGGGCCTGCAGCGCCGGGCGCATGGAGCGCTGCACGTGCGACGACTCCCCGGGGCTGGAGAACCGCAAGGCCTGGCAGTGGGGGGTCTGTGGGGACAACCTCAAGTACAGCACCAAGTTCCTCAAGAAGTTCCTGGGGCAGAAGAGGATCGGCAAAGACCTGCGGGCCAAGGTGGACATCCACAACACCAACGTGGGCATCAAGGTGAGGACCCGCACCGGCAGGGTGGGAGTGACCTCAAGTCCTCTAACCCATCCCCAGCTGAGGCTGTTTGTGAGGGGGGTATTCCCTGCCCCTGCTCACAAACAACAGTGCCTCTGTCTGTGTGTCCTGGCACTGAGAACTCCCTGGAAAGTCTCCTGAACTCTGGTGTGAGGAGCTGCATGTTGACAGGCAGAGGAGCATCCTGTATCCTCTGGTGGTACCAGGGGCTGCGTGACAGCAACACACAGCCCAGGAAGAGCTGTAACGTTCAGTGGTTGAGTGACTCCATGGGCTGTGCCACAGCCACAGGGAGCTCTGTGAACAGCTAGAGCTTCAGAGCTGATGGGATGTGTAAGGCAGAGTAAGGGCTGACACTCTCGAGGTCAATTATGAGTCTGCTGGTGACTTGCTGTGGAACTCGTCATGTCACAGGTTTGGGTCAGGGAGACCATTAGACTGAACATTTTGGCCTCTGTTGGCATTATTGGCCTCCATGTTTGGCCTCTGCAGGCCTCTGCAGGCTTATCACTGTTTCCCATTTCCTGAGTCCAGTTCATTGTTCAATCAGAGCACTGTCTTCATTTGAATATACCATGCTGGAGATACTATTTTGGATTTTTTTTTTTTTTTTTTTTTTACTCCTACTGGGCCAAATAGGCTTAGGAAGAACTTATTTGGTATTCAGCTGTTTGTTCTCATTCGGGCTTTCCACTCTCTGGCTCACCAGTCAACTCTGTAGCCATCCCTCTGCTTCAATTTTTTTTTAAACTACTATTACTTTTTCCCTCATAAAATAGAAATAATACTAATAAAACTGAAGTCCTTGCAGGCTGTCTGTGCTCTGAGGTTCTGCCTCTGCCCAGAACTAGGCTCAGATAAAGTCCACCACTTCACCATCTCCCGTAGCATTCTCTCGGAAAAGCTGCAGCCCACGGCTTGGACAGGGGCACTCTGCTGTGTTAGGAACTGGCTGGAGGGCCGAGCTGAGAGTGGTGGGGATGGAGCTGCATCCAGTTGGGATCCGGTCACCAGTGGTGTCCCCAGGGATCAGTGCTGGGCCCAGTCCTGTTTAATCTTTATCGATGATCTGGATGAGGGGATCAAGTCCACCATTACCAAATTTGCAGATGACACCAAGCTGGGGGGGAGTGTTGATCTGCTGGAAGGCAGGAGGGCTCTGCAGAGGGACCTGGACAGGCTGGAGAGTTGGGCTGATTCTCTACAACTCCCTGACAGGAGGGGGGAGCCAGGTGGGGGTTGGGCTCTTCTCCCAGGAAGCAGCAGTAGGACAAGAGGGCATGGTCTTAAGCTGTGCCAGGGGAGGTTTAGGTTGGATATTAGGAAGAAATTCTTTACAGAGAGGGTAATCAGATATTGGAATGGGCTGCCCAGGGAAGGGATGGATTCACCATCCCTGGAGGTTTTTAAGATGAGACTGGATGTGGCATCAGTGCCATGGTCTGGGAACCACAGTGGGGTTGGATCAAGGGTTGGACTTGATGATCTCGGAGGTCCCTTCCAACCCAGCTGATTCTGTGATTCTATGATTCTATGATTCTATGATTCTATGATTCTATGATTCTATGATTCTTTGATTCTCCTCCTCCTCAGGCAGTGAAGAACGGCCTGAAAACCACGTGCAAGTGCCACGGCGTGTCGGGCTCCTGCGCCGTGCGGACGTGCTGGAAGCAGCTCTCGCCCTTCCACGAGATCGGGCGGCTGCTGAAGCTTCGCTACGACGACGCCGTCAAGGTGTTCAGCACCACCAACGATGCCGTGGGGCACTCGGAGCTGGCCGGGCCCCCCCGGCATGGGCAGTCCCCTCGGCTGCCCCCGGCCCCCCGCGCCACCGACCTCGTGTACGTGGAGGACTCGCCCAGTTTCTGCCGCCCCAGCAAATACTCGCTGGGCACCGCGGGGAGGACCTGCTCCAGGGAGGGCAACTGCGACACCATGTGCTGCGGGAGAGGCTACAACACCCAGAGCCGGCTGGTCACCTTCTCCTGCCACTGCCAGGTGCAGTGGTGCTGCTACGTGGAGTGCCAGCAGTGCATGCAGGAGGAGGTGGTGTACAGCTGCAAACAGTAGGGGCAGGACGAGGCCGGGGGAGCTGTCAGGAGACAGAGACACCATTCTCTGCTGCGGGGTGAGGGCAAAGGCCAGCACCAGAAACGTGCAGTGCTCCTATGTCCTCAGCGTTGGCATCCTGCAGCCCAGGGAGAGCCCCTGCAGGAGCGGGGGAAACCAGAGGTTTTGTCAGGTGTCAGATCAGGAAGGAGGAATGGAGAGGGGGGGGGAATGTGGGACAGCAGAAACACTGAAACAGTGACATATATCTCTCTTGAGTTAAAATTTTTACTCTTCAGGAATATCCTCCTCCTCCATTCCTCAGGTGCACTTATTTTGGGGTGGTGACGTTGAGATACTGAGGGCTTGTGCCCTGGTTCCTGGAGAGGAGAGAATTAAGGGACTGAGGAGGCAGTAAAACCAGAGATTGGATCCTGATGCAGCAGGGACAGCCGTGTTCCTGCACCAAGGCAAAAAGACTCTGGCAGCAGGGGATTCCCAGTGCTGTTCCCGGGAGCTGGTTGGATCCTTTCTGCTGTGAACTCAAAGACACACTGCTGAACAGCCTCATTTTGGTGCAAGAGTTGTGCCTCAGAAGTACCAGTTTACAAACAAATGGAGCTTGTGTCCATCATCTTCCAGGTCTGTAGTTTGGACATTTGACTCCAAGGGCATTTTAACCACATTTTAACTTTGCTGTACACAGGAGCCAGGAACTGCCTCTGTGGCAGTGGATGTGCCACAGGAGGGCTGTGAAGTTCCCCATCTGCAGCCTCACAGGGGGTATTTTGTGGTGGTGGATCCAGGGTGGTGGTGCCAATTATACATCTCTCTTCCCCCTCTCCCCCAGTCAATCAATCAATCAATCAATCAATCACCTTCTTGTCTTGTGTGCACCACTTTCTGCCTGGTGCCCGAGGTGTGTCACATCCCACAGCCCTGCCCTGTGCTAATGACAGGTAAAAGTTCTGAAAGGGAATTAGGAACCACAGGAATTGGGCCATCTGAAGAATTTGCAAGTCATGAGATGACAATCCCTGACCTGAAAAGTTGGATCTATCCACACACTGCATCTGCCATGGCAGAAGGTGACCTGGGGGAGAGAGCACAGTCTGTTACAGTCTATATAGACTTTAAGCTGTGTTTTCCTAGTTGACTTTAAATTGAACACAATAGAAACAGCCTATTTAGTCTCTTTGGCTGTGGTTTACAGAGCAATTTTGGGAATGGCAATGAGGCATCCCCTGATCTAGCCCCCAGGTAAATGTGTGTGTGGCACAACCTCTCTGGGTGATCAGCTCTATGACAGTGTATTTTCCTACTCCAGGGGTTTTCCTGGCTAATCCTGCAGCAGCAGCAGAGTGTTCCTACTGTGAGCAGCTCTGGATTGTCCCTGAGATAACAAACCTGCTGTGTGTGCTCAGTCTTGGCAATGGGGATAAACCAGCCAGAGTGGTGCTGCAAGGAATGTGGAAATCCTTGAGCTCAGATCCAGGTTCACTGGCAAGGGAATGGGTGAAGGTGCTGGTTTGGGTTGTCTAGATGGGCTCATCCATAGGGTGAGTTTTCCACGGGATTGGGTTCTCCTGAGAGGTGGTGAGATGCCAGCTATGTGCTCCAGCTCTGAAGTGTGGATCTCCTGGACTCAGCTGTTCATTCACAGCTGTTGGAACAGCCCCTTCTCAGGGAGGAGTGTGTGCCCACACCTTGAATTGTTTGCCCCTTTATTTTTTACAACTCTGTTTGATTTCTGCTCCCTCAGGTGCTGGAACAGAACTGTCTCAGAGCAGATCTGGCTGTTCAGAGGCCACCAAGACCTTCCCTTTCCCCAGATGCAGGTCTTTTAAAGGGTTTATTCCTTTTTATCACCTTTCTGGCTCAAGTTGACTTGAACTGAATTAAAGTGTTTATGACAGACATAATGCTGCAAATAGGCTTAATTAGCCTTATTTTTTTTACCTCCTAAATACCCAAGAGCAGACCGTATGCTGCTTTTAATCCTTTTGGAGTTGAAATCTTCCCATGGGTCTCAGTGTTGGGCTTCCAAATGAGCTAAAATTGGCATCATAGGTGAAGTGACCAAGGAACTCACTCTGCTCTACACTACTGATCCCAAACCCTCTGCCCCACAGACCTCTGGGCTTGTCCAGCATCAGAGAGAAAGGGAATATCCCACCACAGGGATCCCATTTGGGGATCCCGTGGCATTATATGGATCTTTCCCATTTAAACAGGGACTGGGACTCACTGGAAGGAGGGAGAAGCACAGCTGGATCCCATTCTTTGGGAAGCAAGTGGAGGAGACACCACTCTGCCCTCTTGCTTTTATCAAAGCTGCACTTGAGCAGTTCAACAGGAATTGCTGAATAAAAACTGGGCAAAAAGATATTTCAGAGGAAAATTAAGTTTCTTCATGTGCCAAAGGGGACTTTGGGGTCTGAAGCTCCTTGCCCTGCATGGCTCAGAGCTGCTTAAGGAAGGGGGAATATGGAGAAGAATGGGAGAGGAATGGTTCATTCTCTGGTACCCTGGGGTGGGTTTGGGCTCTGTGGAATATGGAGGTTTGGCATTGGGCTGAAGTAAATTTGGCTGTCAAGCCAGGTCTGGACAGGATGTCTGATGGTCCCAACTTTGCTCTGCCAGGTTAACTCAGAGCCCATTTCTACCCCAGGCAGCACAGCCTTGCTCAGTCTGGGAACCAGACAATGAACACTGATGGGAAATAAAGAATTTAAAATGCCCCATTTGAGGGCTGGGGAAAAGACTGGAGCATACTTTGGGTTTGAGGCAACACTAGTGTCAGTCCTTTTGGTGTCCTTCAGCACTAAGTGTTTTAGGAATGATGATCTGGATAAAGGAGTGACAGAGTTTGCTTGAGGCAGATACCTTGGTGGTTTTGCTTGTTTGCTTTTTCATTCAGTTGTCCAGGGCTGTTTTATCACTCAAACTTGAGGTTAATTGGGTTGATATTCCAAAATGTGATTTACTTCAGCTGACAGCAGTGGGAGTCTCTGTGTGATCAGGGAGCAAAACCTGGGTCTGTTTGTTGGTATCCTTAGGCTTGAATTGTATTTTCTTCTTAGCCAAGACCAAGCATCATCTTCAGCAAAGCTCTTCTGCCACCTCCTGGAGATCTGGGCTGTGAAGACCTTGGGTCTCCATGGGGTCCTGTGGGAGCTCCTTAATTGTGCTGCACACCCCACAATGTCTGGCAAATCCAGGGGATTTGGTTACATGTGCAAATTGCTGGAATGAAGATACAAGGAGATCTCATTGGAGTCTTTACATGGGAATCTTTACAGCAGCAAAGGTGAAAGCTTATACAGTATAAAAAAAACCCCTTTTCCAAGTGCAAATGTACCTCAGTGACTATTGATGGGAAAAATCTGAACTGCACATGCTGTCCTGTGGAGTGTCCTGGATTGGGTTGAATCCTTTCCTCTGTGCCTGAGAGCCAAATAACCTGAGGACAGCCACAGCCCCACTACTCCAAACTGCCTGGGGCCCTCCCTGCACACACGAGGGCTATGCTGCACACACAGGCCAGTCCCTGTCCTTGTCCTGGTCCCTGTCCCTGTGTGCAGCTCCTAGGCCAGCATTTATTGCCTCTCCTGGTGTGTTTTGGTGCTGGGCTTGGTAGTCATGGATCCCTGCATGAGGGAAATAGCCATCCATTATCATCCATCTGTCATCCATCCATCCATCCATCATCCATCCATCCATCCATCCATCCATCCATCCATCCATCCATCCTCCATCAGTCACACTTCTACAAGGGCCTGCAGGAACAGGACAAGGGGGAATGGCTTCCCACTGCCAGAGGCAGGGTTAGATGGGATATTGATGGAATTCTTCCCTGTGAGGGGGGTGAGGCCCTGGCACAGGTTACCCAGAGAAGTTGTGGCTGCCCCAGCCCTAAAAGTGTCCAAGACCAGGTTGGAGGGGGCTTGGAGAAACCTGGGCTGGTGGAAGGTGTCCCTGCCCATGCCCTGGATGAGCTTTAAGGTCCCTTCCAACCTACACCATCCTGAGATTCTACAAAAAGTTTTGCTGAGCTGTGTCCCATTTCTGGTGTTTTTGGACCCCACCATCCCCAGGTGCTGAACCTGCTTGGGAAGGAATCACACACCAGGAGGCTGCCCCACGTAATAATCCTACACCAGTAATTCCTGGAGGCTGATCCAGGGATCCATGGAACATTGGTGCTGGCATGGCAGGGCAGTGCTGGAGGCAAGGGGGCTTTATTACATCAACAAAAAGGGCCATGCAAGCCAAAAGCCATTAATGAGTGGAGTAACAACCCCCAGTCATGCAATAGTCATTTCTCCACCCTCAGGCATCTTGTGTCAGACTGGGAGGCTGATTTGCAACAATAGAATATGTCACTTGAAAAAAAAAGGGCTGTGCTTTAAGGGAAACAAACCTTTTGTCTACCTCAAGATGTACAAGGTGTGTGACAAGTATGGATGTTATTTATATCTCTTATATTTTCTCTAGAAGGAAAATGGTGCTGTGGGTTTTAAGTTGCATTACAGTCCTGCTTGTACCTTAATTTTTATATAATCCTTTTGATTATAATACACTTATTTGTGTTGTTCAGAGTTGCACAAGTGTCTGCTCTGCTGGTGTTCTTTTCAGTCAATAAATACCAGTTGTTTTCTAAGAATGTACATTTCTGCCTTAAAGGAACATCCCTGGGAAATACCTTTGAATAACCCCATCCCTCCATGGACACAGTGACGTTATTCCTTTAGTTCTCCTTTCCCCACACCTACAGAAGGTAACTGGAAATGCCCATTTCTGCCCACCCAACCAGTTGGGCTGAGCTCAGGTGTGTTTGCACTAAGGGAATGTGACACTGGTGACCAAACCTCATCCAGAACGTGTCAGTGGCACATTTCCTGTGGCAGCAAAACCACCCATGTTGTGTCCCTGGGTGCTCTGTCCCCTGGCCAGTGCCTGTGTGTCAGCTCTTGGGATGTGATGCCTTGTGGAACTTGGGAACTGGGCTGATGGAACTG